ATTAGGATTAAAATCATGTCTCCAGCTATGTTTGATTCAAAATGTAATGCCTGTTTATACTGAAGACTTACTGAAGGAATACAAAGATGTATTTCAAGGCTTAGACTTTCTGAATAGAGGATACAAAATCATCTTACAAGAGTAATTCATCCTCCAATTTAAATAAAGCGACAAAATGAGAACATTACCCTATATTAAACATAGATGAAGTTGTCACTAGAACATCAAAAGCAAAAATATTTTCTTTTTTTATGCTAATAATGCTGTTTAGCAAATCCAGCTTGATGAAGAAAGCAATTTGTGTATATATTCAATGCACCATTTGCCAGACACAAATTTAAAAGATTACCATTTGGCATATGTTCAGCTTCAGATATTTCCCAAAGAAAATTAAACCAACTAATAGAAATAAGGTCTAGAAGGTGTTCAATGCATTACACATGATATCTTAATATGGAGATCTAATAAAATGGAACATGACCTACGACTTAAAAAAGTACTTTAGAGAGCAAGGAAAAATAATCTGAAGTTCAATTAGGCTAAGTGTAAAAATAAAAATTAATCATGTGAACTACACAGGGCATGAGTTAAGTGAAAACTGGTTAAAACCTGATTTTTTTTTTTTTTTTTTTTTTTTTTTTTTTTTTTTTTTTAAGTAGAAGCCATTCATTAAATGCCACAAGCTACAGATGTGCCTTCTCTAAAGATTTTAGGAATGAGTAATTACTTAGCCATATTTCCTCTTAATTTAACTAATATTAGTGCAACATTAAGAGACATGCCTGAGAAAAATGTTCTCTGGCATTGGACTGAAAAACACAAAAAGTTTTTGAAACTCTTAAAGAACTAGTTGTAAAAGCACCTGTATTAAGATTGTATGATGTCAATAAGGATATAACTATTTCAATAGACGCACCCCTAGCTTTACTGATCAACTTATTTTATCAATACAGCAATAATTTTTCAACTGCATTGAGAAAATATCAATGCTTGAAAGGCTTATAAAAAGGGCCTAAGTCAAGGCAGGGTTTGAAAATGAATGATCACTAAATTTGAAGAGACAGGGGAGTTGTGTGCTGCGAGTAAGAAGATCGAAAGGGATTTCAAATGAAACCGTGGAAGAAGTTGCTCTTGCTGTGGTCAAAAGAACATCCAGTTTTCAGTGCAAGTTCTGAAGATTTAGGTGCTATTTTACTACAAGAAAATCAACTAACTGCTTATGTTTCCAGCACCCTAACGAAAAGTCAGAAAAATTATACTCAAATAAAAAACGTCATTTAGTTATTACTTCTGAATGTTCTAAATTTCATCATTATATATATGGCAACTGTATTACAGCTGAAATTATCGTCCCCTTTTACCCCTTTTTAAGGCACCTCAGTGATTACAAAGAATGCTGTTAAATTACAAAAGTATGATTTAGACATACGTTACAAAAAGGGGAAAGACTTACTAACAGCAGGCATTTTAAGCACAGCATATTTGAATACAACAGAAAAAGATAATGATGAAAGATACAGATATTTTAAGCTGATTCTAGCACATGACAAGAAAATTAATGAATTGAAGAAAGAAAGAGAACTTTATGCTACACTACAATGTTTAAAGAAATATGTTCTGAGAGGCTGGCCACAAAGGAAATATCAGTTGGAACCTCAAGTCAAAATACTTTGGGACTATAGAGATGAGTTAGATAGAATAGAAAATGGAAGAGACGAAGGAAAATGGCATATTTTTCAAAGAAGCAAGGGTAACTATCCCTTTAAGTATGCAAAAAGAGATGTTAAATTTAATTCATGAGGGTCACTTTGACATAGAAAAATGTAGAGAGTTAGAGATGTTTTGTTTGGGCCACTTTGAGCAAACAGATAGATAAAATTTCAAAATGTTCTATACATAATGATTATCAGAACAAAACCGTAAGGGAACCTATGATACAATTTGAAGTTCCTAATTTACCTTGGTATAAAGTTGGAACAGATTTATTAGAGATTAACAAAGATCTATACTTATTAGTTGTAGATTACTATTCACACTTCAGAAATCTCAAAATTCCCAGGTAATTGAAGCCAGACTGTGATTCGTTATAAAAGTGATTTCATTTTGCAAGATATGGCATTGCTAGTGATATCTGATAAGGAATCTCAGTTTGCAAGCACAGATTTTGCAGAATTTGCCAAGAAATACGAATTTATACCTGTAATGAGCACCCCATACCATCAGCAATTGAATGGATTATCAAAGTGTTCAGAACAAACAGAGAATAAATTGTTAAAGAAAGCTCAAGCAGATCATGCTAATCCTTATTTAGCATTGTTAGCTCATATGTAACACTCCAACTAATGAGATGTTAGGATCACCAGGTCAACAACTTACGAGTAAAAGAACACGAACAGTTCTTTCTACATCAGAAGTATTATTGAAACCTCAAGCTGTGAAAAATGTTAATTTTAAAAAAAATCAACCAAGAAATAATTAAGCAGAAGTCATATTATGATCATCATACAAAAACACCACCATCATTAAGCAAATGATATTATGTTAGGGTATATCAAGATAATCACTGAAAATAAGCAGTTATAGAAAGAAGTATAAAAGAAGCCCAAATCATATATACTGAGATCAGGAGGAACAGTATTAAGAAGAAACAGAATAAACATCAGTTCCAGGCTCTCTTGAGAACATCAAGGGAACAGAACAAGGTGTTAATGTGCTGAAAAGAGATGTAAAAATGTATGATCCCAGATACTGTCAAGAGCAAAGTCTAGAAGATCAATGACTATGCTAACTCAGAAACATGGGACAGTGAACAAAAAGAACTGTAATTGGAAGCATGATTAGAAAGCTGGACAGGTTTTTTAAATTAACTTTTGAGCCCCCAAAAAATAAAAGAAAAAAAAAGGAATGAAAGTTTTTTTTTTTTTTTTTTTTTTTTTTTTTTGGTTCAAAAGGAAAAAAAATCTTATGTGGACACCACATGACTTCCTTGTACAACCTATTAAATTATACAAATTTTTTTGTATTTCATTTAAACTTATTTCCTTGAATTTCATTAGAGATATATTTCTCATTCAATTAATTCAGTTCTGACTTTGCAGCAAGGCAAAAATAACTTTTAAAACATCTTCATTAAAATTTGTAAAATACAGAAAAACATCAAACATCGAATACAGTATTAAAACAAGTTAAAAAAATTTTAAAACCAAAATTAGAGCTTCCGTGCAAAAACAGACCTGCAGACAGTAAGACAAATTTTTAGGTGCACAAAACTCAAATCAGTGCACAAACTGATCAAGTTTACTTTTAATCCGACTCAGCAAAAAGAAAACGAGGTTGGTACACAAACTGACTTAATTCACTATTCTACTAAGAGTTCCAAATGTAACCAAATGACAGCTTCGTTAAGTTTAATACCACTTAAACACTTTTATTGTTGATAATTCTACAATTATTACAGCATATTAACTAAAAGCATTAAAACCTTAACAGAAACATAAGAACAAGATAATTCAATCACTTTTAAAGCAAAAAATGCACACTTTACCAATATAACTGAGTTCAACAAGCCGGGTAGCAGAGTAGCTATACATTATATATGTTTTGTTAGGCTGATTGCAACCAAAAAGGTAGATGCACAACTACACATTATAGCAGTTCCATATATAAAATTTTAACATTCTGAGGCTACTCTTTTTTTTAGTTATGTGAGATATGTATGCCTGTACAGATGTCATGAAGAAAAGCTCTTCTGAATCCATTTTAAATCCATCTTACAATCCACTTTGGGCAAAAGAGTCCTTTATTTTGTCCGTACTTACAGATTTCATGTAAAAACATCGGTCAAATGGATTCAAGAGTAGTCAAAATGGATATTTTCATTAAAATATGATACTGAACATTTTTGTGAACAATACTCTGTTCACTTAAGGAAGAAAGGAAAGCTCTAACAATTAGTGTTCAGTAGCTTGTAAATGACAACCTTTCACATTTAGTTCTTAGTATCGTGAGAATGGCAACAGTTTGTATGTATGTAAAAAGAGTAGTATGTTAGTCATGGTTCTGTACAAAATTTAATATTCAATGCTTATAAATAAATAGTTTAAAGTGCACCCTCTTTATTTTACAGTGCTGCTGATTAACAAGCTGCAAGATTCTTCGAGTCCATCCTTGGGTATTTCCAGAAATGTTTCTCTAAAATATGCTTTCCTGTTGTATCCTGAACTTATCCTTGAAGTCTGTACACCGATTTTGAATCACCTTGTATATGAGGTGCTCACAATTTCTAACTGCAAAGTTTCTCAAAATATCTGCAAGATTCAAGGGCATTTACAGAGAAGATAATTATAAACCAGTGTCAGTACCAATACATAGAGGGATTTTCTAAGTATGAAATTTAATTATGTCATTACGAATGAAGAAGTAGAATACAAAAATTTTCAAACATTATAAAAATGAAGAAAATATAATGAATCAAAGTTACTGTGACAACCGCAAAACAATTTCAACCAAATTTTAAACTGATTTAGGGAGAATTTACAAAATAAAAGCTATTAATTTTAATGAATCATTATTCAACATTAGTGAAAACAATATTCATATTAACTTTGCAGCTGACCCTCATGAAACTATTAATTACTAATAGTCCGTGCAAATATTACATGCAAACGTATGAAACTTTCAATTTTAACTCTTCAAAGCATAACATTTTCCTTTTTGCTACATAAAAGCTGCACTACATAAAGAAAACTTACATTTTCATAGAATTCTCTTAATTAATTTTGAGAAAAATCCATATCTAGAAATCAAAATTGAAAGAAACAAAACCTGTAATAACAGTTTGCAAACACTCTGTATAATTTGCAACATAAATTTCAATATAATTAAAACATTTTAATACTTAATATGTTCTAATTATGAAGTTCTAGGAATCAATAACAATGCATATCATGCTTTAGAATAAAAAAACATGATTATTCTCTATTGGAAACATTCATATTTACTTCTGCTGTGCACTGAAACTGAGAGCTTTTCCGGCTCCTGTCATAACTTTGCCAGCTCTAGTCTTATCATACTTGCCATTTTCCTTTAAGAAACGACCCATTGCATTTTCTTCTTGAGCTAGCACTAGGGGAAAATATATATATATATAAAATTTTCTGCTAAAAATTCGTATTTCAGAAGCTCAGTACAGAAAACAAAATTCAAGTTTTAGTTTAAGCTCTCCCAAAATATAGTTTAGAAGATGTGCTATGGCAAAGAATTCATACAGTGAAATCTACACCATATTATGCCACATAAAAATATCACCTTCTCAGCACATATTACTGTAAATGCTCTTTATTTAATGTAAGAAAATTACAGAAGGGTTATTCAGCTGTTAACCTAAATGACTTTTCTTAATTTGTCACAATTAATGAAAAAATTTCCTAGACCAAACACAGAACTGGTTAGGAAATTAAATGAGAGTAACTTAATTTTACACATTTACTACAAAGTACAACAAAATAACAAAGAACCTTACAAAAGTTTATCCTCCATGGTACTATGAAGCAAATTAAAGAACAAAATATATCGGGTTTTAACAAAAATTTCCCACAACTGCAAATATTATCTGCACAAACAGTTCATGTTAGTGTGTTTAATCATATTGTGTCAAACGATTTTTGGCATTTGAAAGAAAGAGACTCACTTTAGAGCACTGTGTTGTGAAATTTGTAAAACAATATTGTTATAATTAAGTACAAGGTGTCTGAAATGGAACTATCACACTACCAGATTAGAACCATCATTTACTTCCAGTTCTTTTGCAAAACATCAGCTACAGTGTGTCACCAAATCATGTGTACAACTTTAGGTACTAATGTTGTATCATCTGACACTAATACCACTATCACATACGATATTTGTTGCCGGAACAAAACGTTTCGTGGAACAGTTCTGAGAAACGCTCTTTGGCGAAATAGAGTTACCATTTTCACTTGGTAAATCGCTCAGATTGACGAAAGTGACGTTTGCTTCTTCATACTGTTTTGTATCGCTCACACGTTTTTCGTTTTAAACTTTATTGTTAGTAATGGAAGATAATAGAAAGGTGATTGCTATCAAGTTCACTTTGATCTCCACTCTGGCACTTCAAGTAACACATAAACACACTTCAGGTTATAGCAATCATTACATCAGTAATAGCCAAATTCTGTATACACTAAGAATAGTTTAAAACATGTGCCAGATAAGTCTATTTATCAGACATTACTTATGTGTATTTTCTGTTGTCAGCATTCCAATGAAAATTTGATGGCTCACTGCAAAATTTGTGACCTGGTGAAAGCATTTTCTTGACTAACTTTATGGCTCATAATTACTGTTCTATCCATTCAAACAAACAAACAGACAAAAAAAAAAAAAAAAAAACTTTCATGACAAAAATCTATATGGCTGATATTTACATCTTCACAGCCAGGAGATACTATTTAGCAAAATGAAGATCAAATAAAGCATATGAATACATGAGCAATCAAACATGTGTGAGTTGTTTACTGTCCCATAGAACACTCAGTAATATACCAAAACACATTAATTATACCAACTCTAGAAATTAGGTGGTGCACATCATGAGTTTGTTTTATGTGATTACGGCAAAGCCTCGAGGGACATCTGCCTAACAGGAGGGATCCCTTTGTAGAAGAATTTTTAAAACTGGCTGGTATACCAGTTACAAATGGGGAAAACCAAGAAAACGCTCATGTAGCCAGCCCGTTCGCGGCATTCTAACCTGACACAGAACTACCAGTGCTCAATGATGCTTCGGCCACTAGTAGGTCCGTGCTCTTAATTGGTGGTGTATTTAATTATGGCAAAGCACACTAGGGCTATCTGCCTAAGGGGAGGGATGCCTTCGTGGAGGACTTTGTAAGGGAAACTGGCTAGTATACACATTACACATGGGGAAAACACGAAAACACCTATGCAGCCAGCCCATTCGCGGGATTCGAACCTCGGACCGAACTACCAGCGTTCAGCAACTTTACCGCTCGGCCGTTGGAAAGTACAATTCATTATGTAAACAGACATGAAGGTGATAATCAGTTGTGCACTGTTTTAAGTAATCAAATGTTATAAATGCACAGCTGTTACATTTCTTATTATTTATTAGTCATGTTTATATTACGTAGATCATACATATGATATAATTATGAATTAACCCAATAACAAAATGTGCACACTCTTTAGTAATCAAATGCTCATCAATTATTTTTCAACTGATTATTACATATCCATAATAATTTGCAAAGAACTGATGACTACAGTTGCTGCCAATTGCATGATCATTATATGAATTAAAAGTAACTTCAAATACACTTTTTGGCAATGTTCATTTTTGTATTCATACATACATATATATATACATATACACATCTAATAAGTCATATATTTACATACAATAGAGAGATGCGATGTTTAGAAGTTGTTAATATATATTTATTAGTATTAATGTAATGAATAAGATTATATTAATGAATGTATATACAAATGTTTTTCATCATGCATAATAATAATCCATAAAATTTCCAATGTTTCAATATGTAGCATTTACAATAAAAGTATAGTTTCTAATGTATTTATAATCCCAAAAGTATTTCATTAATAACATGAAATTAATAGACAAATTTAATGATATTCTCATTATTACATAAGCTATGCTTTTCTTTTTTATGCTTTTATGCGTTTAAAATGGTCACTTATTATGCAATTAACAATTTAAAAGATAAATATAGGAGAAAAGCGCATATACAAACGGATTAAAAAATTATTCAACTAAATAAGAAATAAAATTCTTTGTAAGTGATAATACACGATCAGCACGAAATACACAAATTTGCAATGGCGACGAAATTGTAAACAAATCCGAAAGCAAACGTGTAATATTGTCAACTCTGAAATTTCTAAACAATGACTCATCATATGTTTTCACCCGTGATAAAGTTTTATATCCGGGAAAGTAGACATTTTAGTTTAAAATACTAGAATCTCGTTTATTGTCCGGGTAATTCCAATTTAAATGCATTCTATTTCATTATAATTAATTGAAGCTGACTTTCTTATAACATAATACAAATGATTAATTTCATAAATAGTCTTCTACAAAGTTTAAGTAAGTCTGAGCTATTATTCATATATGATTTTTCATTATTAAAGCTATGCTTTCTTTTTTTATGCATCTTTTATACTGTTTAAATGTGTCCAGATTATTGCAATTAACAATTTAAGAGATAAGTAATTAGGAGAAAAGCCGCGCATATATAAATGGATTTAAAAAAATTATTCAACTTAAATTTAAGAAATAAAATTCTATTATATAAGAGTGATAATACACGATCAGCACGAAATACGACAAATTTGGATGAACTTTTGGCAACGAACAATTTGTAAACAAATCCAAACTGCAAAAACGTTCGTAAAATACCGTCAACTCTGAAATTTCCACAATTATATATTTAATGAAAATATATAAACGTTTTAAAAATGACTCAGGCAGTTGTATTACAACAAAACAGCAATAATTAAATTGGCCTCTATTTCCACCGTCCATGACTTCACAGTGAGAGTCATCGCTATATTTAAAGTTACCTGTGATCCTTCAGAAGCAGAACTTTCATCTGATTGTTTGAATCTTCGAGGAACAAGTCTCCAGCCGGAACATTTTCAGAAAAGTTTTTAAATGTTGCTCGTAGCTGGGACATGTGCCTCCTAGCTAGACGAAGCATTTCTCGGAAGCCTCCCACTTAAAGCAGTGCTACTAGAATCTTGTTTCTCGGAATTGTCCCGCGTAGCCACGTGCGTCCTTAGAAGTGATAGCCTCTTAAGGTTTGGTACCAAAGGTTCATCAAGAAGCAGAGCACTCTGGCTGGCCTACTGATGTTGATGAGGCCAGTCTGCAAGATGTTGATGAGGCCTGCCTTCCAGAACTTGTTGAAGAAGATCAGTTTGCAACTATATGAGAGCTTGCTAAGGAGTTAGATGTCAATGACATGTCCATTGCTTGCCCTATGCATCACATAAACTTGATGTAAAAGTTCAATCACTAGGTGATGCATGAGCTGACTCAAGCAGATAAGGACAGATGTGTTTGGGCCTGCACTACTCTGCTCAAATATCAATGCACAGACAGAATTCTGAACCGAATCTCTACATGTGATGAAAAGAGAATTTACTTCAACAACACAGGCAGAAAAGGGGGTCTGCACTCAGTGAGCCGTCAGCAGAGTCGCAAAGCACAGTTTGGCCAACAAAAAGATCATGCTTTGTATCTGGTGGGATTTACATAGTATCCACAAAAAATAGCTGGAAAAAGGTAAAACCCTTGACAGTACGGGCATGCAGCAAGATGCTAGTCTGTGTTGACCCTGCCAGAGGAAAAATGCTGAACTGAGTTTCGCTGCAAAAAGGTAATGCTCCATCAAGATAACACAAGACCACATGTGTCTGCATTCACCAGATGGATTCTACGGACTCAAACGGGATCTTTTGCCACACCCACCATATAGCCTTGACATGACTCCTTTGGACTGCTACCTTTTTTCACTTCTGCAGCTACATCTTGCAAGTGTTTTCTTCCATTCTGCACAGGACATCTGAAATGAGGTTGATCTGTGTTTAGACTCACAGCCACCAAGTTTCTGGGCCGAAGAAAAACTACCAAAACCTTAGCAGAAAATTATAGATTACTACCCCCACTAAAGGTACTACTTTCATATTTTTTCATAACTTTATTATGATCTTTTTCTTTTTTGGCACAAAACTTTTGTTACAACCAGATTTATACAAATTTCTTATTTAAACCACTCAAAAAGTAGATATTTATACAAATTACTCAATTAAACCATCGAAAAAGTAAATACGGTTTCTTTTTTAAAAAATCAAATTTGGGGGACTATTCATTGTGCAAACGAAATTCCGGATGTCCCATCAATCACATTTCGGATGTCCCTCACAGGTTTCTGAGCAGATTATGAACAAAGTCGTATCATCTGCCTTATATACAACAGAATTTATCGAAAACAGCATTTGTACTCAGAACAACAGTTTAGAGAAAAATGTGCACACTTGTGTTTATCACAAGGCTG